GTGGGAAATGGCATTGTTGAGAAGCAACTTGGACAATCAGCCACAAGAGATTGACTGGCATGTCAAAGGCAGGATCTTGATCTTCTCACCTCCATTTGCAAGACCTGAAGAACGCGAAGATGTCGTAGAAGAAGAGCCCTCAGGAGGCGATGACGATGAAGAAGGAAATGGTGGTCAAGAACCGCCTGGTGATGATGACGAAAATGGAGACGGGCCGAGCGGAGGACCTTCGAAACGCACGAAGACAGAGATCACAGAGATGGCAAAACCAGTGGAGACGGCAGAAGAGACTCCCAAAGAGGAGAAGATGGACGATGCACTTGATGCTGAACCTGTTGAACCGTTCCATGGCTGCACCGCTATCGATCCGTCGAACGCACCCAAAGAGGAATTGTCAGACGATGACGTAGTCACCATGAGTACACAAAGCACTCCGGATCGTCCGACCTGTTCGCGTGAGGTGCTCGACCGAGACAAGTTCATCATGAGCCGCTTCCAAGGAGAGATCGAGCTGAGCTCCGACAGCGATGGTCACGCATTCGTAGCTCTGGATCACCGGACTATGAACAAAGGAGAAAAACAAGTGTTTGTCGCCGGCCTGCAGACTTTGCAAGAGAATGACTCAGTCTTGCATGCACTAGTTTCGAACAACCCGTTGAGTGTGCAACACATGGTCATTGTCAAGGATGACATGTTGATCAATGCACCCCAGAGTGCAAAGATATTCGATGTAGGTGCAAACTGGGTGAAGACCCGCAAGGAGGTCATCAAGCACATTTCAAATAAGATCCCTGGTTTAGTTGTACTGTTTTTGGAGAACACGGACCCCAGGAGGATTTGGAATGATATGCTCATGGAAGTCGACATGTATGGTTGCAACCTTCTTCTTTTCACACCACTTCTCGAGATATCTGTCGAACATTCCATTTGTCTCGGTGGTGACCTAGAGTTTGCCTTGGCAGGCCCACAAAGCCCCAAGATCTTGGAGGCGCTGGAAGGTTGGTGCGGAGAGAACATGATCCCAAAATGTTTTGAGGACGCGAAATCGGCAAGACTACTAGAGATGTTGAACACCATGTCAGAAGAAACTTATTTGGAACATTTTGCACGGACATGTTTTGTCGCAGACGAACTCGAAGACATCTCTGAAATTGAGGACAGTGACATTGAGGGAGTTCTTCAGGAAACCAAACATGATGATGGAAAACCGTTGACGGCAAGAGAACAGGAAGAACTCATGCTAGATCAACTTGCATTGCCCGGAGCCGACATGACGGAACAGAAACGGAGACGACTGTGGCGTGCTCTCCCCCAGAGGACTCGCATTGCAATTCGTCGCTTGCATCGGCAGTTCGGACATCCCGCACCGTCAACTTTGAAGAATATTTTAAAGGCAGGTAAGGCAAGCAAGGAGTTGATCGAAGCTGCGCGTCTCGTCCGTTGTCAGTCCTGCGAAGACACTGCGCCACGTCCCCGTGATCATCCGGTAGGAAATAGTAATTTCCAGTATGAGTTCAATGCCATGCTAGGTCTTGATGTCACAGAAATGAAGGACCATGCAGGGAACAAGTACAGCATTCTCACGATGCTGGACATTTCGACAGGATTCCATTTGTCAGAGGTTGTCAAAGAAGGTGGAGGTATGCCAACGTCAGAAGCCTGTGCACAAGCTATCCTTCGCAGATGGATCAGTTGGGCAGGTTTTCCAAAGGCTGCAATCATGGATAGAGGTGTCCACAACCGAGGTGAGGTATCCAAGCTGTTCGCTTCGCACGGTGTTGAGATCTTCTACGCACCATTGGAAACCCCATCAGCCATTGGCAAGGTTGAAAGGCACCAAGGTATCTTGAAGGCAATTCTCAGGAAGACCATCCACGACATGGAAGCCGTTGGTCGCAATGCGTTTGAAACATGTTTGCACGAATGCACTTCCGTGAAGAACCACATGCAAAGAGTCCAAGGCTATTCTCCAGCACAATGGGTCCTGGGTAGGAACCCAAGAGTTCCAGGATCTGTGACAGACATGGATGAGGCAGGAAACTTGGGCATCTTGGAGAACAAGCTTGACCCTGCAGCAAGCTATCATCTGTGCCATGCATCCCGTATGGCTGCACAAAAGGCATTTATTCATTTGGATACAAGTTCCCGTGTCGCAAGAGCATTGACCAGGAATGCAGCAGTCCAGAATAAGAAGTCATTTGTGGTTGGAGACCTTGTGGTCTATCGTCGAGACACACAGCAAGGTGGAACCGTGTGGTCCACTGCTTCGCGTGTGATTGGCATCGACCCGCATAATGGCATCTGGTTGCTACATGAAGGTATTCCCATTTTATGTGCTGCTGGAAAACTCAGATCAGCCAATGAGAGTGAATCTTTGGCCTACTCTATTTTGAACAACATCCCAGTCTTCCCAGAGGCAGTGACATTGGGACAGCAGAAGTACATCCGAATGATGGACGAAGAAGCAAGCCCTAAGAAGGGACAGAAGAGAGAAGCACAAGCAGAAGATAAGACGGGCAAGGCTGCCCGATCATCTGCAAGCGCGAGTGGAAGCGCAGTCGCAGTTCCGATGACCCCCGGAGGCATTGGTGGTGATGATGAAGTCATGCTTGCATTGGTTGACAATGAAGACCATTGGAGAATCTCTGAGAACCATGCAATTCGTGTCCACAACAAGAGGAGATTCCATGATTTTCACCCGCTGCATGACGGAGATGTTCCGGAAGGATTCGGAGGAAGACGCGTAACCAGAAAAGTCTATGAAGACGGAAGTCGAATGACCAGCGAGTCCATGCCGGGCATGGATGAAGTTGATTCTCGCGCATGGACAGGTTTCACAATCTTTACACGGGTAAAACACCCGTTGATCGCCATGGCCGCTGCTGACGACACTGAACTCGATGCTGCCGAGTTTCGAGCCTTTGTGGCTCAACGCTTTGGAGAAAACAGTGAGACGCAGGTTGGCAAGGTGGCAAAGACGCTACAGTACGATCGATGCTCTCCCGAGATGCAAGCCCGCATCCTGGATGCACGTCGTGCAGAGTGGAGCAAATATAGGAGCTTCAATGCTGCAATGCCTATTCGAGGCAAGGAATTGGAAGAGTTACTTCAAGAAGGGCATGTTCCTATTCCTATGCAATGGGTAGATGTGGATAAGCAAGCTCATCTGACCGGTACGCCTGAGCATCGGCCAGAAAACAGATCCCGGTTAGTAGCTTGTGGAAATCACGAACAAGTGAGCCGTGATTCACAGGGTATTCGTTGCGATAGCCCCACTGCTGAGACTGAAGGACACATGTTGATTGCAAGCTTCGCATCAAGCCATCGTGTGACCCTGTATGCGGCAGATGTTTCTTCAGCGTATTTTCAAAGTCAGCCTATGACGAGATTGCTGTTGCTCAAACAGCCACGTGGTGGAATTCCAAGCCCGGATGTTCCACCGGATGCAATGTTGGTTGCACGCCTTCCGATCTATGGCACGATCGACGCTGGCAGAGGTTTTTACTTGAGGATGAATGGTGAGATCACCAGTGCCGGGTTGAAGTGCAGTCGCATTACACCTGCATTGTACTATTTGCACAATTCCAAGGGAAAGTTGATAGGCATGGTCGCGACACATGTCGACGACTTGTTGTATTGCTACCTTGACGAAGGCAAGAAGACAATTGAAGGTATCCTCAAAAGGTTCACGATTGGCAAGACAGAATCGGGAAGGTTCCGATACTGCGGACGTCAGTTCGTACAGCATGAGGACTACTCCGTAAGCATTTCTACAAGTGAAAACTGCAGAACAGTGAAGCCGATTGAAATCGACAAGCATCGGAAGCTGTCGGAAAAGGTGACAGAGAAGGAGTTGACAAGCCTCAGGAGCGTTGTTGGTAGTTTGGCTTGGGTTGCCCGTTATGGAAGACCAGACCTTTGTTACCGTGTGAATGAGATGCAGCGTGCATGTAGCGCAAAGGCAACAGTGCAAGACTTGAAGAATGCCAACAAGGTTGTTGAACTGGCACTTCAAGGAAGTGACTTGCAGATCACCTTCAAGAGTGATTGGATTGACTGGAGCGATCTGGCAGTTGTGACATTTAGCGACGCAAGTTTCGCAAACGAAGAAGGCTTCAAGAGTCAGCAAGGCCGCATTCACTACATAACGAATGCGAGCAGCCTCAAGGAAGGCAGTCACAGAATGCATCTGATCAGCTTTGGTTCAACTACCCTCAAAAGAGTGTGTCGTGCTACATTGCAAGCAGAAGCATATGCTCTGCAAACTGCAGTCGAACATGGAGACCGCCTACGATGCCTGATTTGTGAGTTGACCGGACGACTTGATGACTTCAAGAACTGGCATGAAGAAACCCAGAGGCGAATGGCACACGTGTACTACACGGATTGCAGGAGCTTATCGGACCATTTACTGGCAGAAGTTCCAAGAAAGGTACAAGACAAGAGGCTTGGCATAGAACTTGCCGCATTGAGGCAAGGAGTGTGGACTGTGAGTGGCGAGAAAACATCAGAGATCTACAGTCCCTATGGTGACCACCTGAGGTGGATTGAGACATCGAAGCAATTGGCAGACCCGCTAACCAAGAGCGTGAAGCCGGACTACCTCCTCAAGACACTGGAAAGTGGCCTTGTGAATGTCGAGAACAGTGGCGCATGCGAGAAGGGAGCCAAGAAGAAAGATGAAGAAGTCTCACCTGACTTGTTTTGAGAATTCGACATGGAATGGCATGGTTTACGGCCCCACGGGGAATAGAGTTGCTTGGCTGCCTTTGTACAACTTGAACTGTAAAGCCCGCAACACACCTGTAGATAAGACGGGTGTGAATTTCAGCTGTTGTAGCCAGGGTGTATTGCGTACAGTTGATGCACCGTCGCTGCTGTTTCGGCTGAACAGGGCCCTTGAGCTGATTCGCTGCTGCGAAAAGGAACTGTGCGAGATTCAAACTAGACTAGACCTCCCCCGGTCGACGCTCGCCGCGTCGATCGGCCTCTGAAGAGAGGCGGAGAAAGTCTTGGAGTTCTTTCGACGAGCAGGGACCTTGGAGGCGAGGAGTGTGTTCATGTGAAGACTTTAGTGTCAAAAATACCACTCGCCAAGGTGAGGTCACTCCTGGAAAAGGGTCGAGAAGATTGACAATAGGTCTTCTTCTGACGGTGGCGGGTGATTGAAGAACGCAGGATGGGAAGTGGCAAAGGCATAGAGAACTGCACAATGAAGAAATCTGCACCTATGGTCCCCACTCAACCCCCAACGTTGACCGAAGGGGCGGTTGGATCAATTCAGTCTTTCCACCCAAAACAAGCATTAAATGTTCCGCTACTCGTGTGTAGAGAATTTATGAGATCTTGATTCCTGCGGGTCTTGATTCTGTTCACCTCCAGCCTATCTTGGGACTTTGTTCTCAAAAGCTTGGGTCGCCATCGTTGGACGGCTTCCATACAAACGGCTGGCATTGGCTGGCTGTGACTGCTTACCACTTGTGCTACCACCGCATTCTCGTCCGCCCATGTCGGCCTCCAAATCAGATCGCACGGCGTGGGCGGTCCGCACGCGTCCGGCGTGGCGTGTGTCGCACCGGGCAGATCTCATGCACTTCGGGGGTCTCCCAGGTTGGTGTCGAGGAGATCTCTTGCGTCAACTGTAATTAGTAAGGCGTCCACGGATTCCTGATCAGTGTCCCACCCAATCGGATTGGTTGGGAGCTTGCTACCATGAGCCCAGACTCTGGGAAAAGGATCCTGTTTGATGTTGTTTGTTGGATTTGTTTCCAGCAGAAATCACAAATACATGCAAAGACTCCTCATTGATTCGCTACTTTCTTGGAGGTTCACTGAAAGACTGCCCCAAGTCCAACTTTCACCTGACTTGAAGCTCAAGCACGAGTGCTCCAGGGCGAGCAGCTCTTCTCCTTGCTGAGCTCTTTGGAACCCGATCTTTCGATCGAAGGCTTTCAGCAACTCCTGCGGGCAGCCGGCACCGCTCAAGGCGACCAGGAAGACTTCCTGCGCTGGCTACTGGAGGATCAAAAGATAAAGCAGTGCACAGGTGCAGTGCTAAATGAGGTCACCCAATTTGTGTGGGTGTGTGAGCAGGTTGAAAAGAACAAGCTGAGTGGAGACAGCACGCAGCCACCCAAAGCTGCACTCTCCAGATAGGGCAAACGCTATAACATGTTGGAAAGCGCTGGATTGACAAGTTTTTAGGCTCAGAGTCACAACTCACAAATACATATCTATCACATATCGTGTCATCAGATGTCATCGTGCAACGCATGTCCACACTACCCACATGACCAACATGTGTGGCAACAAGAAACATGAGTCCAAAGGAAAAGGCCTTTCACTGAGTGCGGACCCACGTACTCAGGTTAGTCCCAGTTCTTTCCCACTCACCGGCCTTTGACTCGGCCTTTGACTTCTTTTCCCGGTCAAAGCGTGGAACGCTCCGGATCTGAACGCCTGGAACGCTCCGCGGAACGCCGAACGGCCATGCCGAACAAGTCTGGGGATCCGGTGATTTTGGACCCTCGCGATGCCATGGCCGTCCGAGCGCTCGGTTTGGGGCTACCGTGCCCGTGGTGGACCGGGATCCGGTGGAGGTGGCGTTGCTCAAATAGGGTAAGTAAGACCTGTTCTGCTGCAAAGGAGTTATATTGAGTGGCATCCGATTTCTGAGCCACGTTGAGCCACGTAGGGCCGTTTTGGTGGCTGAACAAGCCCAGAGTCCGGTTGTCCAAACGACATAGCTTCATGCTTTGAACCGGATTCCACCGCCACAAGTCTACCGGGAAGGTAACCATTATATCTATTGTGGGCTACGAACAGACAATAGGACAGTGCGATTAGCTTAGGAGCTGGCGCAGCCACCTGCACGTATTGGTAAATAGAGGATGGTAGGCAGATCGAACACATGAAACTTGCTTCCAAATGTTCAGTCCAATGCGACTTGGTTTTAGCATGTTTGTGGACGCTTGTGCAGAGAACACCAGAGAACTCCACGTAGTTTTCTGTTGGAGTTCTTTCAGTTCGGTTTGGGCGACAAGGTCAGCAAGTGCCAAGTGAAGATGCAGCTGCCCAAGGTGGGCGGTCTGGGCCCGGGCCCGGATCCCCTCGGATCCCCTCAGTCTCGTTTATTTTCGTCAGAATAGACGTGTTCTCTCCGTTTGACCAAGGAAGCGACACCGAATGACACGGCTTTGGGGAAGAGATGGACAAACTCATGTAAACAGGTCTGACCAGTCTGATGGGAGCCTCCTGTCCAGCTCTGCGACGGTGGTGTGATTGTTCCGGGGTCGTTCGTGCGTCCCAGTACCGGAGATGATTCCGGTCAGAGCCAAGCACCAGACTAGCGGAGGAGAGTCACCAATTAGCCTGGCAAGCGGGTCTCTGAGTATGGGCCAACCGGGCTGGAGTCTTTGTTCATTTCGGACCCGAAGCATCCTGTAAGAACAGTGCAGTTACTGTATGATCTGATATGGCATTCTCAGTCCATCGATTCGTGACCAGGTTGATTCATTAATGCGTTTGATTGATTGTGAATTCAAGACCTGTCAGGTCAGTTTCGGGTGGGTTGCCTTGGAAAAGAAAAAACATTGGCCTCTACAGAGACACCCTCCGCCTGAAAACCAGTGACTTTGAACAATAGTCAGTCACCTGTCTTCTCAAGGCTCAAGGTTCTTTCAAGAAATTGGCCGTTATGAATCATTGTAAACCTATGAACGCCCCGAACTGACAATTGGGTGCAATTTGCTGCATGTTTTTCCTGCAACTCCACCAAGATCCTGCTGAACACGGACGACTTTGGTAGCTGGATGAAATCACCAGCTGGATATAGCTGGATGAATTTTCTCCCCTGCCGACGATGCAGCCTGCAGGGCGTGCCGACCACGCGGGAGACCTGGCGGCCCTTGTGGAAGAATCACAGCAATCCTTTCCAGTTTGCTTCGGCCTAAGACTCTTGAGATGGGGCGGGGAGGGTAGCAGTGTTGGGTTTTCGATGGGTTGGGAGGACATCACGTGGCGACAGTTCAGGAATACGAAACGATTCAAACATATTCAAACCCAGGTGTCCAAGGAAAAATACGCTATACAGTATAACCTGTGGGTCCCCACGGTCTGAATTTTGCAAATGGTGAGTTTCCGAATTGGTCAACAATGCCAGTTTGTGTATAGATCCTCCTTGAGTCCATGCAGTCATAGTTTGTCCCATGTTTTAGTGTGATCTCCAACCCTCTCACATGCCCATCGACACTGACACCCACTATAATTCCACACCTTCCACACCAATTGGAAGGGAATCAAAGGTGCTTTTGCACTCACTCATGTTCTATCATCTTCTATTCAATACTGGTGTTTGGCTGCTGAAACTGGCCAAGAAGTGTGAAAGGAGACATATCGCGAAACATTTGCAATCAGCGTAGCACACCCCACAAGACCCTATGCTGGTAAATTTCAAGAAGCTGTACCAGTCTACCTTGCCAGTTTCAGGTATACATCATGTATATCTCATGACGGACCTCATCTTACCGTCTTACCTAACCTATTCACCTCCAACTGCTTTCTGCTCCGGACAGCTCTCGAATCTGGATGAAGCGAACCTCGGAGGATCGTCAGTACTTGCAAGCCATCGAGCTCGCGCGTCTTCGCACCATGGAGAAGCAGCAAGATCGGAGGCGCCCGGTGCCCGACCGGGCGGACCCCGAAAAAAGGACCGGGACCGAGCCGAGCTCGATGATCATGGAAGACATCCCAGTGTTTTGTTTTCATGTTTTGGGATGCCAAAATGATGCCTGGGATAGTTATATAGTCAGTTGATGTCAGTTGTAGGTGTTATCAGATTTACGCAGTCAGGGTGAATTGGGAACCAATTTGGCGAGTTCGGGTCCTGGTGATTTGGAAATTTGACCGTTGGAAGACAGCAAGTAGGTGGTGAGTAGAAACATGTAGAAACCACCTACTAGCACTTGTTACTACTAGCTTCATGTTACTACTAGTAAGGCACCTGTTACTACTAGCGTGGCACTTGTTACTAGTAGCGAACCTTGTTACTACTTGAGTAGAAACTCTATAGTTGGTGTCATGACCGAACACCCAAGATGCGATTTGCAGAACGGAACATAGAGTGCATAGGTTTAACATGACAGACAGATCAGGAGCTGTTTCTATTCTTAGACTGGTGACATATTAAGGCGATTGACAGATGTTTTCCTATGCGGGAATCTTCAAGGAATCTACTTGAATCTACTAGGAAATTTGGCCCATTTGCTACCCAGGTGCCTCGTGATTTTTTCGGATGATTGCGGATGTGTCCTAAAATATGGGAAGCTTCTGGAGGCGGATGAGTGTTCTCAACAATTCTCAACATATAATATCACATAATATTCAACGGCTAGCCATTGCAAAGGAAACAGAAATCAACAAGCATGGGTTTGCAGGGTTTGGTTTTGAGACAATCAGCTGAAGCTTTATTGGTATTTGGGGGTCCTAAGTTTATTTCAACCCATGCGAGATCTCGAAAAAGAACTTGTGCATGTGTTGCAGCTGTTGGACCAGAGGCCCGTGGATGTCAATACAAGAAAGCATTTTTAGCCAGACACGGCCTTGGACAGATACGGCACATCTTTGCCAGACGAAGTGCAACCTTGGAGTCCTTGGAGGTTTCTAGTTTGTGCGGCTATAGTTTTTGCAGCTTGTTTGTAATTGACTAGCCATGGCGACAGACTAACTGGACCTGTCAAGAAGACCAATATGAAAGAAAATCGTTGTCTCAAAGAAGCAAATGGCCAGCCGAGACAACGCGTGAGTGCAGACAAAAAAGAGTCCCACAGGGAATCCCTTTTCTCGTATATGTACTAATGTGTGAGGTGGAAGACTCAAGAAAAGCAGAACACTTTTCTTTTGGAATGCTGGTGTCCCTGCTTCCCTTCAAGAATGACTTCTCACAACAATTATATCGTTCTCTGAAAAGCACTCGTCACAGGGAACTGGCCGCCGAGCAGCCAAGCTGAGTTTTCGTTCTCCCACCCTGATGGCTTGTCGCAAGCGGGCGCAGCGGGCGCTTCAGATACACAGCGAGTGCGCCAAGAGAGCGCGGAAGGGCCCGTCTTCGCAGTTGTTTACAGACAGTGGCCTGGCTGTTTGTAACTGGATGTTGACGTGGCTGGGGTGGACGGGTGAAACATGTTGGTTGGCCAAAGACAGTGGCCTGGCTGCTCTGTAATGAGCCTGTGATTTGCTGGCTGGCTTGAACTGGATATTGGTATTGGATGAGCCATGTCCACTCCAGACACCAAGGGGTGTAGTTTGTTCACTTCTTCCATGGTTCAAACACAAAGATCACATTGGCCCCTTAACTGTTGCTCAAGACTCCACTGGGCCCCTGCTTCTAACCAAGTGTGTTCTACCACCAAGTTTTCACGGTCTGTGCTTGTGATGGCTGTGTTTGTTTGTGTGTGTGTTTGTGTTTGTGTGTGGTTGGGGGGGGTCAAAATCCCAAACTTGTCGTGATTATTGGGTTTGATGACCCGACGGCCACCCATCCAAGCCCAGCCTTTTGGTTGGCTTTTGGCCCGAATCATCCGGAACATAGGTCCGGAGGTTTGTGAATCACTCACGACTCACGACACTCTTGAAGGAAGAGTTCTCTTTCACCGGCTTTTTGTTTTTTGTTTGGATCAGAAAATCACCACTCATTCACCACGCGTGTCGAGAATCACTTGCTTCCGAGGCACTGAAGAGAACTTCCTGTGTCACTACGGTGATGTGGTGGTCTCGGAGAGGAGTCGCTTCACCCTGTTGGAAGGCCGCGGCACGAGAGGTAAAAGATAGTGAAAGGAACCCTCAAGGGAAGCTAAAACGGCAGTTCAAGTCGTTTCACTTATAAACATTTGAGGTGATTTGTGTAAAGGGCCAGCATCACCCTTGCAAGAACAAAATCCCAAAGTCTTTCTCACCTGGATATTTGTTTCCTTGACCCTAAAGCATCAACTCTATATTTTTGGCTAGAAAAGAAGCTTCACGCACAGGACTCCAGCATCGTGCAACATCGTTTTTTGATATGTGGACTATCTCATTGGATCAGGAAACAGAAACAGGATCACCTTTTGAAACAAAAAATACGTTCCCAAGCACACTCAACGACACCGCAGGCTTGGGATCCGGTGCCTTTGGGCAAGTGGTCCGCTGCTCAGCCAATTCTGGAGATCAAGTGGCCCTAAAGATCCTCAAGCACAAGGAGTGGACAAGATGGAGCTGTGCTGAAGTATCTTTCCACTAATAGACATCCTGAAAAGGGGATCGAGATCAGGTTAGGTTTCCACCTGCGTTGGGGTTCTCCACAGTAGATTCGACAGAGAACTTTTTCACAGGTTGGAGCTGTGCCATCGATCGGCTGAGTCAGTCGGAGAGTCTGCAGCTGATCCGGTCGGGCAGTTGCATCGGCTGCTTCTGTTAACTTCGGAGTTCATGACATACTATCAGACGCAAGCACTCCATGTATTGCAATGTATGGTCTATTGACCTATATTGGTCCCTGTAAATAATATGCCAGTCCCAATCAGTCCCATTTGGATCCATTTGGGAGAGAATGCTCAAACCAGAGGTATTGTCTTAGAATCGTTGTTGGCAAAACATTTAGTTGCTTCCTCGTGTGAGGCTAGTCTTGCAGAGGGTGTGTTTTAATACCAAAAGGAGGAAATCCATCAGTGCCTTACGACTAGTCACTCCAATCCATCTGCCAGTCAGCCTCAGTCAGCCTCTGTTCATCCGGACACTGAAAGCACAGGACTTCTGTGCTGAAGTCAGCTTGGAAGCTGAAGAGGAGGCACGGATTCTGAAAGAACTTCAGCATCCGCACATTGCCACTTGGTTTGGAACACCCACCTGGACGGGGATTTGTTGGCTTGAATTGAACATGTTCAAGTCATTTCAAGTCCATAGGGTCGTGTCATGTTTACCGGTCAGGGTGTTAAGAAAATCATGTGTGTTTTTCACACCCTTGTCCTTTTCCCATGTACCCATGTAGGCACTCTGTTTGAAACCTAGAGGCGGCGAACATAGCATGACCGACACATCAAGCGTCGATGGCGTGGATGGCGAGATGACGGGCGGATGGATGGGGGCAGGCGTTGGTAGGTTGACATGTTCGGGTCCTTTTCATTGCTTGTGGGGGTCAACATGGGTCAACCAGGGTTGGTTTTTGACCCGCTGGCAGCTTGGTGGCTCGTTCGTACCGAGATTTGGAGCATAATTAGCTCATAGCTTCCTTGAGTATGATGACTCGACATCACAAAAAAAAGAGAGAAGCAAGGGTAAACAACTGCCGAGTGCCTTTAAGAACCATTTGATGACCCACCTGCTGACATAGAGACCTTGGTTTATCAGATGATATCAGATGTTGCTAAAAACCGCTATCAGAAGTGGCTCCTTCTGTTCTGACCCAACGAAAAGAAAACACTGCCGGGACTGGAAGGACAGTTGTGTCTTGTTCGTCTTCGGACCAAGGTACGGATGTTGGATTTCTTCGAGTTCCAGGAGAGCCGGGGCGGGCAAAGCATGGGGTGCTTCACGGTGGGTGTTGACCTGGGTTTGTCCGTTCTGTAAACAAGCAAATCACTATTTTTTGGAACAAGGACCATCATCCACTGTGCCCTGGTTGACATGGATAGACCCTACACTTGTTGATCACAACATCTCCGGGTTCGGAGACGGGCCTCTTTAGTGTTTTACGTTTATTTTGGACGTTTTTCCCCAGATAGCGAAGCTATGGGGTTCTTACTTCTAATAACGATGAGTTGCCCGTGCGCGCTTTCGAGACAGGTTGCTGGTGCTGGTGCTGTGAGCTTGCACGTGTGGAGACAGGTTGCTGGTGCTGGTGCTGGGTGCCGGGTTCCGGTGCTGGTGCTGTGAGCTGGCTGTGCACGTGATGGAGACAGGTTGCTGGTCCCGGGTGCCGGTGCTGGTGCTGGGGGCCGGTGCTGGCCATGGTGCTGTGAGCTGGCTGACAGGTTGCTGGTGCTGGTGGTGTGACGAGTGAGCTGGCTGTGCGCGTGGTGGAGACAGGTTGCTGGTGCTGGTGCCGTGCCGGTGCTGGTGCTGGGTGCCGGGTGCTGGTGCGGGTGCGGGTGCTGTGAGCCGGTGCTGGTGCTGTGAGCTGGCTGTGCACGTGGTGGAGACAAGTTGCTGGTGCCGGTGCTGGTGCTGGGTGCCGGGTGCCGGTGCTGGTGCTGGCTGTGCATGTGGTGGAGACAGGTTGCTGGTGCTGGTGGGTGCCGGTGCTGGTGCTGTGAGCTGGCTGTGCACGTGGTGGAGACAGGTTGCTGGTGCTGGTGCCGGGTGCCGGTGCTGGTGCTGTGAGCTGGCTGTGCGCGTGGTGGAGACAGGTTGCTGGCGCTGGTGCTGGGTGCCGGTGCTGGTGCTGGGTGCCGGGTGCTGGTGCTGGTGCTGTGAGCCGGTGCTGGTGCTGTGGGCTGGCTGTGCAGGTGGTGGAGACAGGTTGCTGGTGCCGGTGCCCGTGCGCTGGTGCTGGGTGCCGGTGCTGGTGCTGTGGGCTGCCTGTGCACGTGGTGGAGACAGGTTGCTGGTGCTGGTGCTGTGAGCTGGCTGTGCCGGGTGGCGGTGCCGGTGCTGCACGTGGTGGAGACAGGTTGCTGGTGCTGGTGCCGGGTGCCCGTGC